GTCCAAAGAAACTACATCACCAAAATATGCATAATCTAAAATCATCTTCACGTCAGCCCAAAATACATTTGTAATTTCATCACAATCTATCTGATATGCATGAAAAAATGAAGGATTATTTAACAACTGTTGCTGAAAATATTCCATCACACAACCAACATCTCCATAAACCATACTTCTTTGTCTTCTTTCCTTCAAGTAATTCTTTGCATCCAATCGAGTATATCCGACATTGCATCTATTGCCTGCAAGTGTGCTTTGGAGTTGAAATGAGGACTTTTGTTGCAAACCAGATTCTTGAGCCATTTCAATCTCATAAGCTTGAACTTCACTTATGAGAAGCAAGCATGTGAGTTGTCTCCTCAAGTTGTAAGGGCTGATTATGATCTTCAACAAACTCATGAATTATAAACTTCCCATTCTTCCCCAAAGATACTGCAATTCTGGCGGAATAATCTGTTCTTGTCTCAGCTCTATGTTTAGCAACTTGACAATCTTGTTTCTTTCCTTTTCGAAGACCTTCTTTACAACAAACGTATCTACAAAAAGTAATAGCACCATTTTCCTTTCTCTTATTAAAATACTACTTTCTAACTCCAAATCCGATCCTCCTACCATATTCAGTCCAAAAATTCCATGCTTGTTCTACATTATCAAACTCTAATCCAACTTTTGGCTTCCAGTCCACAATGTTTTTAGTTTTCTCTTCTACCAAAAACATAAACAAAAAATCCCATGTTAAACATCTCACATTATGGAAAATTTAGGATATAGCAAATGCAAAAGATGTAAATGTTAAAATGAAAAAAGATACCTGATAATGGAGATGGTTCCATGGTTATCAATGTCAATGAAGCTCCAAGTTAGTATATGTTGAATGTAACTTGTTTTGTTTAAGTCTCTGATTTGTACCAAGCATGTATATTTTTAAGAGAGAGCATTTTAGGAGTTAAATGAAGCTTTTCTTCAAGCTTACGCCACACAAATGAAAGATTCGCGCCAAAACGACGCTTGTTCGCTTAAGCGTACATAGACCGCTTAAGTGAAAGTTGTAATTTTTAAACGAGAATTTTCGCTTAAGGTCATTAAGGCTTAAGCGAGACTTTATTGGCTTAAGCTCTTAAGGGTTTAAGCGATCCTACAGTGGCTTAAGCGACGGACCAGAAAACAATTTACCTAAACTTATTAAAGTTGGGATATGGGCTTAAGCTAACATGTTTTGGCTTAAGCGAGTAAAAGGCTTAAGCGAGGGACCAGAAAACTATTTACCTCCTTACTTTTAAAATTGCGCTTAAGCGAGATACTCCCGCTTAAGCGAATTTGCCGACGCAGCTCAGCCTTAAACCCATTCTCTCATTTCATTCATTTCATCCTTATATCAAAAAATATTGAAAAACCCTAAACCCCACCCCAAATCCAGGATTCTCCCCATTGCAGCATTCCTCTCCCATTATCAAAGCAACCCAACGATTCCAGGTAATAACTCTTACAGCAATATGTTGTTCTCCTACCTTTTAGGTTAGGGATGGTTCCATGCTTCTGGATACTATTATGGAAACAATGCTTTCAAGGGTTTAAGGTTAATGTTTTTAGAGTTTAGGATTATCACTCTGTTTGTTGTTAGATTGACATCAATATTTATGTGAAGCAAGGTTCTTTCTGTAAAGAAACGCTTAAGCGCACCTGACTCGCTTAAACGCGCTTAAGCGCATGATACTCGCTTAAGCACTTATTACTCGCTTAAGCGCCTGATTTTGGCTTAAGTGAGTATTGAGATTTGTCAAAATTATGTGTATTTTCCAATTTTTTGAGTATTGAAATTTGTTACCTTGTAGATATGGCTCCTAAAAAATCAATTCCCCAAAGAAAGAAGCAACATTCAGACGTTGGAGAGGCTTCACAACATGTACACCATACAGGAACTCAGGATAATGAACCTCCAACACAACCGAGCCCCAGTCAGCAACTTACCTTTGACAGATACAGGTTCTTCAGTCGAGCCCATTTCAGAGATATTTGGAATTACACCCAAGAGAACTTCTACCTGAAAGAAAAATTATTTTGGAGGAAGGACAATTTGCTGAATTTACAGAAGAACTTCAGAGGAGAAAATGGAATATATTGGCTAACCCACCAAATAAAATTGATGAAGACATAGTGAAGGAGTTTTATGTCAATGCATGGCCCTTGCATCCACAAAAATCTGAGAAGAAGTTTTGTGTTAGAAGGACATCCATCTCCTATGATAGAGATGCTATCAATGCATTACTAGGGAACCCCCTCACTTTACAAGAAGGACAGTTGTGCGAATACCAGCAGCGGAGGCGCCTGACCACAGGATTTAATGATGATGATGTAGTAAGGTCCTTATGCATTCCCAACAAATCATATGAAACTAACTATCAAGGCAAGCCAATGAGGTTCAAGAGAGGGAATTTGAAGACACTGACTCAAATATGGATGTCATTTCTCTTTGCAAACATTGCTCCAACCACTCACACATCATATCTCCGCATGCCTCGGGCCTACCTTGTCTTCAGCATTATGGAAAACCTCACAATCGACATTGCAACTGTGATCTCTGAGGAGATTCACCAACTTGTTTTGTCCACCAACTCCCCTAATGCATCTGCAACAAAGCCCTTGGGCTTTCCAGCATTAATCACTGCTTTATGTGCTGCCCAAGGTGTTCAGATACCAAACAATCCAACACAAAGCATCAAGTTGAAAAAACCTATAAATGCTCAGTTAATAAACAACTATTGCATTAACTCATTGGACCAGCCACAGCCACAACCACATCTGATCCTTCTTCATCAGCACCACCATCAGCACAACCATCCATCCCCAAAATGACACCCATGGAATGGCGTATCACCCAACATCTGAATCAAATACAGCAACAAATGGAGGACAACAATCGGGCATATACACATATACACTACCAGATGGCGACTAACCATCGAGCCTACACCAGCCTTAATGACTCTTTCTATCGCTTTACCCTACATCAGCATGCAGGAGAGACTTCAACATTTCCATGGCCAACCCCAGAGGATTTTGTAGCTGTAGTGTCATGGCCTGGAGACACACCTTCCTTCTCAAATGAACCTAATGCAAATCATGAAGATGGTGGACCACAAGGAGAGGAACCAGAAGAAAGAGGAGAAGGAGAAGGGGAAGAAGAAGAAACGGAAGCACAACTTGATCATGAAGGTGGTGATGGGGAAGGAGACCATGTGGAGGACGACCAGCCTATTCATAATGATGTTGATCTATAAGATGCATGAACACTTTGTTTTTTCTTTATTTGGTTTTAAAGTTTAGATTTTAGTTTATGTTTGAAGTTAGTTCATATTGTAAAGTTTCAAGGACCTATTTAGTTTGTTGCAGCTAAATTGTGAAATTTTACTTTATTAACCACCTATCTAAATTCCTTTTATTTTGATTCTCTTTTATAATTTGTATGACTTGTTTACTAAATAAACCAAACAAATTATCTTATAAATTAAAACTTGTCACATACATATAGTAATCATTTTATTTTCTTTTGCCAAAAATAATTATGTAAAGGACAAATGTATTTTGTTTTCAGAAATAATATATCCATGTCTGTCAATTTAAGCTGTTGTTTTTCAATTTTCCTGCATATTTGCTTAAGCCCTCCAATAATCGCTTAAGCTCACAAATTTCGCTTAAGCTACATAGTACTCGCTTAAGTTGGTATTGGTTCGCTTAAGCCAATGTGTTATAGCTTAAACTAGTTTATCAGTCCAAAAGAACATTCTCTCTGCATTCTTTTTATGCAATTTTCGCTTAAGCTAAAGCATATCCGCTTAAGCTATTGTTTCATCCGCTTAAGCCAATCCATGAAGGCTTAAGCGAATGTGTAATCCTGGGAAGTGTGCTCTCTGTTTTTTTAGGCTTAAGTCATTAAGGTTTCGGTTAAGCCCATCATATACTCGCTTAAGCCTTATACATATGCGCTTAAGCCCACAACTCATCAGCTTAAGCTAAATCAACCACGCTTAAGCGAATGTGTAATCTTGGGAGATATGCTCTCTATTTTTTTAGGCTTAAGCCATTAAGGTTTCGCTTAAGCCATTAAGGTTTCGCTTAAGCCCATCATATACTCGTTTAAGCCTTATAAATATGTGCTTAAGCTCACAACTCATCAGCTTAAGCTAAATCAAGCATGCTTAAGCTAGTTTGTAATCCCTCTCTATTATTTTTTACTTAAACAAACATATTTTAGCTCAAGCGCATCACCCACTCACTTTAGTTCAATGTCTCACTCCATGCTTGTAGCATTGACTTAAGCCTTCGTTCACTTAAACTAGTTTATACGAACTTAAATAAAAATTATTAAATTCACTTAAACCATATCAAAATAGCTTAAGCGAGTAAAGAACTATACGTACAGTTACCGCGTTAACTACACTGCATCTGTATCCATTAATCTTTTGGCCGAAGTTAAACCGACAGCACGCACGATTCAATGAATGATCTTATGTTGTCTACAATAATTGATTGGAGGCTGATTTATTTGACTTTAGTAGATAGCTTTTTAATGTTAAATGAATGATGTCACATCCTTAAAAAAGTGAAAAAAAATAATCATTGCCGTCACGCGCTCCTGTCTAGGGAGGATGGAGCGATGTGACGAACAAAAAACAGAGCCATGAACACTTGAACAGCAGAACACGGCAAGCACGTGTGAATTTGATCTTTCTACTTCGCCGCCACACGAGTCTCACATCATCCGTATACAAAAATATGATGTGTACGAAGTGACGTTTAGGTTTGGTCTCGTTTTTGCACTAGCTTTTAACATCACACTGACTCACATCACTCGCACAAAAGTGATGCGTCATTATGTCATGTGATAATATAATATGTAGTATTATAAATACTTAATCCACAAAACCATCTTCTCAGAATCCTAAATCCTAATTATCAAATTGCTCGTAAGCAAATTAAGAAATTCTAAATATTGTTAGATGGATCGTCAACAGAGAAGCCAACCTTCTTCTTCCGAAGGAATCGAAAGAAGGATCGTAGAAAAAAACAGGAGAAACCATATGAAGAACCTCTATTCCTGTCTCAACTCTCTTCTCCCTAACTATAATCCCATGGTCTGCCCTCTCTCTCTCTCTCTCACTATGTATGTCGCATGCATGGATTTCATTTGAGGAAATCATGTGCAATTATATTTACTTATGGAAATGATATGATACATAAACGCATACATAATATTTCAAATTGCAAATCAGACCGTGACAATGAGAGTGTAATTGCTTGCGACGTGGTTACAAAAACCTTGAAAATTTTAATATTGTATGAAATTACAACTATGGACTACAATTTAAAATCATGAATATATATATATATATATATATATATATATATATATATATTGACATGATGTGATTTTGGTTTAATACAGGAAGTGATAGCGGTGCCCGATCAAATAGATGAAGCTATCAACTACATCAGAAGCCTAGAGACAAAGGTGAAGATGATTCAGGAGAAGAAAGAAAGCTTAATGGCAAGGAAGAGAACTCTAAGTGGTTGCTCGAGTTCACAAGGTAGCCAAAAATCGCCAAAAATCGAGGTTCATGAAATGGGTTACTCGCTTGAAGTGATTCTAACATGCGGGTTTGATAACCAGTTTATTTTCTATGAAATTATTCGAATATTGCATGACGAGAACGTCGAGGTCATATCTGCCAATTATTCAATGGCTGGAGATTCAGTGCTTCATATCTTGCACGGGGAGGTATATGTATTCTTAATTAACCGTGTTCTGAAAAAAAAAAAAAAAAGCTTAATTAGCTTCTCAATATTGAGAAATTAAATTATAATCGTTTTTCTCTCTTTGCTTACTTCTTGATGTAGATTCCGCAATCTTACTTTCAATTTGGAGCGACCAAAGTAAGTGAGAGGTTGAAAGGGTTTGCGAACGGATCCCTCGGTGATGTGGAAATAGATAGATGCAGAAATGTGGGATTTTGAAACTGGTTCTAATGAACGTGGGGGCTTCCAGACCCTACTGTAGACAAGGGTTTTCCAAATCCTTTGTAAAAGAAGCAGTGATTAACATCTGCAACAATTAAGGGTAATGTTTTAATATGTAAGAATAAAACACGAAATTATGAAACCGCATGAAAATGTTGGTTATAACCTTTGTCATCTTATTCAAACTATAATTAACGTCATTACCAGTTCTTATTTCTGCTTTGGTTTTTAACTTATATTAATACTAAGAGGAGTGCTAACAACAACTAATTCAGAGCCCAAAATAACCCACCTGAAATTAATATTAATATAGGACTCATCTAAGCTAGCCGATATAAAGAGCTGCCAAAATGAAGCTCAATAATGGCTACGGCATATAATGTAAAATTGCCTCATCTCTATAAAAAATAAGTGTACGTATTTTGGCCCAAACCTTAATCAATCAAACTATATGCTCGAGTTATTACAACCTATCATGACAGGTGATGCCAAATTACATGCTAGCGTTTAGTAAATTTTGGATTTTCATGGATTAATTTCAAATTGCTCTTAAAGTGAGGTTTTCGATGAAAGATAGATTAGGATGATTATTCCTTTTATGAATGGCATGGGCTTGTTGTTGGTTTATTAAATTTTTAAGAGTGGGTAGCTATACGGGTATAAGGTTTGGGATACTCTTTATATATCATTTTATGTTAAACTCCTTTTGCAGATAAAAAAAATGTGTTTACAAAACTGGATTAAAATTTCAGGTGTATTGGTGGTTGGGCATCTCAAATATTAGTATTCTATCATCCTGGATTCATAATAAGTGAAATTAAGACAAGTGTTCACGATATTTTAGGTTTGTATTCTCCTCAAGCGCTTATAAGAGTAATGTTTAGGGTTTAGGGTTGATAAAAATTTATTACATAGATTTCAAATTATTATTATTATAGATTAATATATATATATATATATATATATATATTTGTTTTTAATAGCACATGAATGATTGGCTATTAATTCACTATCCCATGTGGATAAAGAAAATATAAAGAGGAAAATTGTTTGTTCATGATATGCACATAAGGTAGGGAATGCTGTTTTTAATTTTTTGGTTAGTGTTTTGTCAATGTATCAAATTATCAAGTGTGTAAGTAGTAGTTTGTTAAGGTTTATTTTGCACATAAATTGGAATATCCCTTGTATTCACATACACCTGGAGGCTGGGGAGTTGGGCTTAAGAGCTTCAAATAAAAATTCAACAATATAATGTTTGAAGATTATAATGTGGGCAAAGTGTTAACTGTTGTGTATCCCATGGCCTACATGAGACACATTTGCATTGCCCATTAATCATTTCCAGGTCAAAGAAAAATTATGATTACATATATACTCTTTTTATTTCGTTTCACATGCTGTGCAAATGGGATATCGATCTGGCCTCTCAGGTAATTAAATTTTGGTGTTGAGTACTAATTTGTTTGGGTGTTAATGGCTACGGATATACTTTTCCACAGTGCTGCGGACCAATTGTTAGTGGGGTTCCCAATGGTGTCACCAGAGGATTGTATTGCAAAAGAAAAAAAAATAACAAGGATGACATGGTTTTGAGTTTGGTTTGCAGTGGTATAGTCATGGCTTCATAGGAATGAAAATTTGTTTAAATTTTTACGTTAGACAACGAATATGTCTTAGAAATGATTAATGTTAGGACTTGGGCTTGGAGCGAAATTCAAGGGGATTTTCCTTTTCAGAGTGGAATAAGAAGCCTTCTATTCGCTTGAATCCCTGGCATCAGACTTGTGTAATTGAAGGTCATGTATCTTGTATCTCCTTATTAAAATTTTCTTGGGTAATGAAAAAATTATATTTATACATTATTTCAACTTTTACAACTGGTTTGAATAATTGTTTTTCAAATTATACACAAACCTGCCTTCGTTTTGTGTTCTAATTGACGAGTTTTTCTACGTCAGAATACCTTTTCTTTTTCTAATTTTAAAAGCATATTTATGAAAGATTGAGAAAGGAAGATTAAAATAAACAAATTAGCATTGTATACATCATAACTCAATAAACACGTTGAATATTACCAAGTCACTCTTGGCACTGCAATTTTTATCTTTATCTTTTAAAGTTGTTATTTGCAGAATAAAATAATATAATAATTTATTAAAAATAATTTTAAAAAATAATAATATATAATTGTTCTATGAAAATGATCATTGAGAGCACTTACATATTAATTTTTCTCTAAAGTCGCTTTTTTTAAAAAAAAATTATATGTTAATGGCTTTCACAAATTAAAATTTTAAAAATTTGGTAATTTTTAACTTGTAAATACATGTAAAATTAAAATGAAATGTTATTCAACTCACATGGCATTATTAATTTCTTCTTCTTTGCTTCTTTGTCTTTTTTATGCTAACAAATTTAATTTTTTTAACAACTATAAGTGCATTTCTCACACTTCTCTCTTTATTCTTTCTTTGTTTTCTTTTTCTTTTTTTATTAACATTGAAACTTCCTATTATTTTAATCTATTTTTTTATTTGACAGTGTTTCATTTGTTTAGATATATATTATTTAATTAACATAATATATAAATTTGAATTTCATCAAGACAAATAATTGATTTTAGTTTGTAATAAAAAAAACTCACAAATAAAAAAAATTTAAATTTTAGATATATAAACTCAAGTTTAAATATAACAATAAATTAATTTTTTTTGGTAATAAATAACTTATAAAAAAAAAGATTTCAAATTTTGCGATTCATACTTTAAAGAAAAGTTATAAAAATTATTTTTTTAAGGAACGATTCTAACTACTTTCCAAGTACATACACTTTGACTAACCGTAGTTGTTAGAGTAGAATCTCTATCCAAAGTGATGCAAAACTACTTTTAAATATATATATTTTTATTGTAGTGTTAATTTATCTTTATATCTTTAAATGAATTAAATTCTTAACTATTATTATTATTATATCTTTGTTAAATATCAATCATATGATATTTTTAACATAGCAACCTATTATTTATAATATCTATTTTTATAATTTTTTTTAAATCCCAAATCCTATTGTTACTAGGTGACAATATTCAATGTTGAACTAAGACCTATCTTTTAAATCATAGGTATGTACAATATGCAAAAAATTCAAATATATTAAACTAGTAAGTAGCAGCAAATAAAAAGGTTTAAATGACTTCATAGATGAACTATTCAACTCTTGCTCCAAAATTTATCCAAAAATGATGTTGTAAGCCGCAAGAAATATCGCTTCGAAATGTTAATTGATACTCTGACTACTTCTAATTTCCTTTCATATAATAAACTATCTTTTGAATATAAATGTTTTTCTATTACCCTTTCTTCCATTTTTGGACCATCACACTGAAGATTCTATTCAAAATAATTGTTGGATTAATGCTATCAAAGCTGAATTACTTGCTTTGGAGAAAAACAAAACTTGGATTCTAACCATACTGCCACCATTAAAGTGAGTCATTGAATGTAAATAGATTGTTTAAGATAAAGTATTAATAATTTTGAAATCTTTTGCCTGGTGGTTAAAATAAATATTGTTAAGATGTTGTTGTCTATTACAACTATGAAAAGTTAGGATTTATATAAATATGATGTGAACACAACCTTTTTACATTGTTACTTGCATAAGAGAATATATATGAAAATTTGACGAAGGCTTTTTGTTCTTAATGCAAATTTAGTTGTGCAAATTACAAAAATCTTTATATGATTTGAAATAAGCCGACAAGTATATGAATGAAAAATTGATTTCATTCCTTTCTTAACATGACTATATACAATTAAAAGTAAATTCCTCACTTTTTACCAAATTCATGACCCTTCATTTTACCGTTGTTCTCATATATGTGGATGATCTACTAGTTGCAAAAGATGATTTGAATGAAATCAGTAATTTCAAATACAAATTGAACATTGCATTCAATATTAAGGATATAAACAAATTAAAATGTTTTTTTAGAATGAATATGGCTAGATCCCTCCGTGGAATTAGTCTCTACCTAAGAAAGTAAGCATTAAATCTTCTTTAAGATGCTGATCAACTTGTTATTAAACCATGCTCTACACCAATGGATTATATACAGCAAAGGTTCATAAAGAATCTAGTAAACCAACCTCAAATCCTTTTTCCTATAGAAGAAGAATTGTCGGCAGGCTCCTGTACCTTACACATACGAGGCTTGATATTTCTTTTGTTGTACATTATCTAAGTCAATATCTTGATTGTGCTATTGAATTTTATCAATTAAAGTTATTAGGATACTTAAATATATCAAACGATCATGCCTATGAATAGTTTTGTATTAGTCTTGTATCTATAAATAGTTGTAATAATTTTTCCTCTAGCAGGTTTGAAAATACAAAATTTAGATTTATACACTTTATGTTTTCAGCATAATTGAGCTACAATTTTTTAGTTCAATTCTTCTTGTGCAAACTTTATTTTCCCGTCTGTGGAGAATTATATTCTTGACACGGAAACTAAAGATATTTCAAATTAAAGATCAAGATCTAGAATAATCTTGTAATTCAGTAAATATTATATAATCTCAATAAATACACTGAATTAAATAGGTAATACAATATTATATAATTCCAACAAATACACTGAATTAAAAAGGTAATAGCGAAAGAATAAGAGTGTTGTGACCACAAATTTGTGAACTAAATACTAATAATATAAATTCATCACTATTTAAATTTAATTTATGTACGCAGTCAGGTAAAGTAGAAAGAATGAATCCTTGTGGCTGAATTTAATAAACATCTTCAAATAATGCCATCGGAAAAGGAATTATTGACATCCATCTAATTGGTAGACCAATCATAGGAGAGAGCAATGCCAATAAGCATTTTAGAGGATGCTAAACTCATGTTAATTTGAAGCATCTAACATAATGACAGCACATGCCTTTATAACGTTGAAAAAAAAGGATAAAAATATCACTTTAATTATACTT